CCAAGATATTCAGATTTAAGAACTTTCTATTAGAAATTTAATTAAATAATCAAATTATAAATTAATATATTAAAAGCATATATTTACAACTATACTTATTAGTTATATGTTATAATTGATTTAATTTAAACATGGTTGTTCACTTAAAAAATTGTAAAATAAGATATCTAAAGATTAAGCTTATAGGTATATACCTATAAGTAGAAATAATTATACTAAAGACAATTGTACTTAAATAGAAAAACTAATAAAAAAAAATTAATTACAAATTAAATTAGTGATTTGATTTGAAGTTTATATGAACTATCACAAGACGTTCAATAACAATTTCCTCAACTCCTTACACTCTCTACTCTTTAAAGTAACCATACTATATGACAGCCTGTCATTGTCATTAATATAATAAAAATGTCGGATTTGGTAGTCAAAGCTAAATTAATAACAAAAAGAAATATTATAGACTTACAGTATGCATTCTGTATAATTCCTAAATAGGAATCAAGAAATTCAGACTTCGCTGACTAGCCTGACATGGCAATTTATGGAAAGCACCAAAGAGCTTCTGTTATCAAAAATCTAACTAAAATAATGGTTTACATACAAGATATTTTGTTTTATACTTAGATTATTATAATAATGAATTCAAACAAAAATTTTCTTTTGTTGCTTTTCAAAAAAAAAAAATTAAAAATATGTAATGTATGTTTACGGAAAAACTGCTTTTAATCAATAATAAAAAGTGCATTCTGCGAGGGGATTTTGACGACCAGATCTTCCCAACATTGGTACACTTGAACTCTTATAAGAATTTAAAATATTTAGTAATAGTTTTGCGACTCTTAATAAATATTGCACTTTGTGCTGGAGAAACGTTGGCAAAGTCACCAAAGGCCTTTGGTGGACATACTATGTCACAAAAGTGTTTGTATTTTTAAAACGAAATAATTTCATTACCATTTCGCACTACATGCTCTAATTCTTATTACTAATTAACAAATAGATCATAGAAAATTACTAATCAACAAATAGATTATAGAAAAAGGGATGTCTGTTAACCCTTAAAAATAATTCGGTAATGCCATACACTAGAAGAAGAAGCGCCATACACTAAGAAAAGAAGCGTTAATCTTATATATCTTAACCCAGATTTCACACCAGACTTCAATTTTCGAATAAAATGAACTACTCGGTATATTCCTTAATAAAACACTAACTTTGAAATTTCATCATGGAAAGGTTATCATAAACGCAACAACGGTACTCTTTGTCTGCACAGAGCTTTTTAAGAAAAAATCAAATCCTAGAATGACTTACTGGACGTTCACTTCGGAAACAAAGCTATTTTATTGAAGATTTTAAAAAATTGGTGAAAAATAAATTTAACGGTCATGGCCGGATCATATAGGACAACATCAACCTAAACCATTCTTAATCTCAACAAAGGGAATAACAAATAAGCTGTTATTAGTAACAAGGAACATAATATTAATGAATATCTATTGATGATCATAAAGATCATGCATACACGTTTAACTAATATGGTATAGCATATACACAATACATATAGTTAATCATAATTTAAATATTGTAGAGAATATTCAATCACAATATCCAAGAACATTGAGATTTTATGATATGTCACGTATTGTTAGTAGGACTTGAAAAAATGAGGATGCAAATATAACTTTAAGCCGAAATAGTTTTTAAATCCTTATCCATTGTATGAATTGAAAGAAGGCATTAGGGAATGTAAAACAAATAATGATCTAGTACCTTTTGATCTAATACTAAAGAAAAAAAGTAAAAACATATATTTACAAACATTTTGAATACATCCTTATGTTATTTAAATAAGATATTTTTTAAAGATTATGATTTTAATGAATAAAAATCATTATTGTGAGTAAAGCGGTTACGTTTTTGGGAGCCACTTGTTATGATAGAAATATATTTTACAATTGGATAAAAAGTCTCAATATAAAAGAACAATTTTTCAGTTACAAGTAAATATATTACAAAACCCGATCTTCAACTCCTCAGATATATACAAAAAGCCGTAATCTCAACAATTTTTTCAACAATATTATAAATGTAATATGAATTTATAATATAGGAACCTCTAATAAGGTGAATTCAGTGCAAGTCATCACTTCACTTAGTCCCCTACAGGTAAGCAATATAGTTATAGAGAGATGTCTTAATATATATTGCGGAGAAAAGATTCCTGAATGTGGTTATTTAAGAAACTATTTACAAAGATGTATACGGAAATATAATATAGATTAAAGTAAGTATGGATTACCATTCCCATTCCCAGATGTGGAATAGTGTTACTTTATATACGAGATATATTGTGTTATAAAAAGTGTTATAAAAAATCATATGGTGTGTTTTTTAAATAATTTTTTTACATTTAGAAGTTTTAGAGTTATATGACGTTATTATTATTAACATACATATTCTTATACTTTATTTACATTAACTTTAAAAGAAAAACTCTACACAATAACTAGGAAATAATTTCAACTAACAGTGGAAGCAGAAGACTGCCACAAAACTCTTGTATTAAAGCGCAACATATTCATTTCTTTCACGGATGCCTCCAAGAAAACACAGCAATTGGATATTATCTATTGTACAGCCAATAAATTCATATCAGAGACTAACAGACTACTACGGTACATTCTAAGCAGAGATATTCACTACTCAAAAAAAAAAGCGGAGCTCTACGTTGGAAGCACTAGAGTGAACGTAAAAATAAATCTAAAATACCAATTTTTTTAATTTCGGAGCATAATGCTATTGAAGACCTCATCAAAAAAATGTTTGCGTACATTAACAATCTAATTTGTTTACCAAAAAGTTTTTAAAATATTGTGAAAACAATAACAGAAATATAGATAATGTAGTTATGAGTTCAGTGTTTATATACATCTGTTTTTAAAAAAGGCTTTACATACGGCTGCGAAGAAGGCAAGAACAAAAATGGTTGAGCTCCACAGAGATCAGCTATTATAATAACTAATGATATTTGTAAGTATTTTACTTAGTTTTTATAAAATCCTGCCTGAACTCTGTTTAGCAGGTATATAACCTGAAACCTTTCCAATCTTCTTTCACAGAAGTTTCTCAGCTATCTCATTAGAATGCCGGATAGCCAACTAAAAAGTCATAAATTCACTTTATTGTACAATACAATACATACAATACATTACAATTATAATATAGCTTAATTTGTTTTTCAAATTTATATATCTTGACAACGTTACTAAACACTTATAATAATCCGTAAGCACGATGAAGAAAATATGTTAATATATGCTTATATCCTCTTAATTATAATTTTATTTCACTTCTACTCCAACACTGATTGCAGTATATAGAAATTACAAATGACCAAGCCAAAAGAGTTTAGATAATACATTTTCGGTACTTCACCGTGTTCTAATTATAGTAGATGATTTTTTGCTTGAAATGAAATACAATTGCCTAATAGCCTATGTGTTGCTCTATGCCTAAATTTTGTTGATCCAAGCCCACTCTACGCTGAATTCACATTCATTATCCATGGTACGTGATGTTAAACATTTAATTAACAATTTATTGAGAAAACCAACACATTTAGTAGTTGTTATGAACACAATTTCTTTTTGTCTGAATTTTGATGTTTCATACTAAATTCATGCAACAATAAATAAATAATTTTCTATACTCTTCCCCAGCAAATTCAATCATTTTAATAATTCTCTGACATTTAGCCTTAAATTTATTAAACTTCGCAAACTTTGTTCCTTTTTTTCTTCTCGGCTTCATCTACTTCATCCTCGATGTCATGTTTGGTTTGATTTTGTTTTGTTTTGTTTTGTTTTGTTAATCTCGATATTTACTATAAAAATCTGTACTGTTCGGTTCGGTTCGGTTGAGTTTGGTTTGGTTTGGTTTCATAGACTATACAAGGATATTCATGGCAAAGCATGTGCGGCCATTAACAATAAAGTTTATGTGTAATAATTTTATGCATTCTTCCTTGGTTATTTCAATAAAATAATGTTGCATCCCTAAATAATTTTAATACGTACCCATGCTCAAATAAAATATTAACGCAGACAAGATGATGACAATGGCCAAGAGGCAAGCGCCAATAATGATGCTACGTCCATACAACATCACGTTTTAACCGACGAACGCCAAGACGAGCGAACGAGCGAACGAGCGAAAAAATCGCCAGAGTTCCAAATAAAAACCCAATGGAAATGGCAACGAAGTCAAGCTGACTGAGTTGGTCCTTTCAAAGGTGTGAGGAAGAGGTGGACGTGAACGGGAACGGGAACGCTAAATGTTGTATGTAGAATGTCTTAGTAGAGCTTAGAACTGAAAATTGCGCGACATGGATAATATAATTTGTATCTACTGTTGTTGGTTAAATTGTTGTAGTGGATTTTTTGCATGTAATGCGCTTACGAATCGTTTAACGATTAATCATTTTTGCACTTGTGACTAAGATCTTTCCTTTGTCAAAGGACAATAAAGCAATACGCGCCGCACTCACATAAACATTAAACTGCATTTGGCAGTATTGATGGCTGCACAGCATATCCTGGCACAGCATATGCTGGCATTTTACTGTACTTTAAAGATTTTAGAAATTCACTTTTATTTATTTTTTTTTTTTTCAAATTTAAAATAATTTTTTCCGCTGTATTACGTTTCTTACATTAAATGCTACCATTTACTTTGTTGATATTTGCGGTTCTTTCTAGTTTGACACTTTAATTTCTTTAATACAATGTATCTTGTTGTGCTCAAAACACGCCCATCGAACACTATTTGAATTGTTAATTTGGGTTCGTAGTAAAAATATCTGCAGAACTGCAGCTTCAG